CTGTGGCGAAGATTGTACTGCTGGTAAGTAAAATAAAAAAGACTGGCTTGGGACAGCTCTACTAATAGTAATACTACTAGTACTACTACTACTAGTACTACTACTACTGGTACAGGCTTTCATTTTTAAGGGGCGCGATCGCGCTCGCGCTCCACCGCGCACTCGAAATTGTGCCATGGTGCGTGCATCATCGCGCCTCATAAAAGTGGTTGAAATCGCGCACCAAAAGTATGTGTATTATGTTAAAATAGCGCTCTATAGAGTTGTCAATGTAGTGGGGTACAAAAAGGTTAGCAGCACACAACAATTTGTGGTGTGTAAGTAACTGAACGTATGGCAGAGGTACAGGTTACTACCCTCTGGTTTATACAACTAGACAACAGCATCCAAATACAGGTACCTACACGGTAGCCACAAGTTACCTGCTCGTTTTCCACTATACGTGGCGAGAAGTGGTTTTCTACCGACGTGAAACAGTCGTAGGGCTGGAGGGGCTACATACGTGGCTACTACGTACAAGTAATTTGGCTAGTTTGTTGATGGATTGTGATGATATTTCGTGCTGAAATATGCAGGTACATGGATTATAGTCTCTAAGTCTAAGGATGAAAATCAGAATAAATAAAACAAGTTTATTTTTACATCCGATCAACTCTTTTATTAATCTGTGTGCTAGTGTTGGGTTGTTGGATGAAAAGAATGTAATCATGACGAAGCCATTGAATGAATGAAGATGAAGATGAATGATAATCAGTGGATTGACATGACATCCCAATTTTCGTTTTGGATTTCACTCTAGACTGAGGATTGGTCATGATTTCATCATCACACCCCAAGAGGCATGATGGAGAGCCCTCAAGAAGCTCTCCATCATCCCTTTTAAGGGTGTGATTTTTAGTGGAGCTCTCCATCATGCCTCTTAAGGGTGTGATTTTTTAGTGGAGCTCTCCATCATGCCTCTTAAGGGTGTGATTTTTTAATGGAGCTCTCCATCATGCCTCTTAAGGGTGTGATTTTTTAGTGGAGCTCTCCATCATGCCTCTTAAGGGTGTGATTATGGAGCGTGAAAAGACCATGGTGTCCTAGGGGAGTCATTAGTAGTTCTCCTGTACTTTTCAAATCTGAAAGCCTGCAGCTCGCATAGCTGCACTTATTATCACTGTGTATTTGTGCATGCACAATGGCGTGCGGGCTATGTGTTGCAGCGGTGTATTGGACGGTGTTGAAGTGAAGTTATTAGGTCAAATCAAACATTAAGACTATTGCTGGTACTGGTACTGGTAGGGCTAGTAGTAGTACTGAGTCTGACAAGTTGTATTTATTAACCATCATTTTATTATTGATACGGTCCAAGTGCCTGTGGAACGGAGCTTCGTGAAACGCGCCCCAGGCCCCTGCAGCAGCATTAAATAAACGCACCCATGCAGCAACATTAAATAAACAGGCCCCTGCAGCAGCATAATAAATAAACGGGATTCACTTTGCACTGACTCGAATTACTGTACAATGCGCATTACATTGCATTACTATACATGCATTATGTTACATGCGCCATGTCATTGTTGTAACAACATTCACCTTGCACTGACTTGATACAGAGCGTGCAAGACTATTTTCGATAGGTTAGATGGATGGATGGATGGATGGGTGGGTGGATGGATGGATGGGTGGATGGATGGATGGATGGATGGATAGATAGATAGATAGATGGATATATTTTTGAGTATTTTTCTTTCAACCAAGTGGTCACCAACTGAGCGCTTTATTTCCCGGGCAATGCCGGCTGTCCTGCTAGTGTTTATTATTCACAATGAATCATACCAAGTATAAGAGTCAAATTTACCGAAAATCTGATCGAAATTACACGTACTGGATAGCAGCGAAAAAAATACACGGGAGCGGCGAGCGATTTCGCTCCCGTCAGCTTTCAAAGCGCTCTG